CCCCCCCCGGAATGGTATGATTGTTGTGTGCTTTTAAATTGTGCATTGTTCCGTTCGTCTTTTTTATTCTTTATTTGTACCCCTTCCCTTGACTTGGATTGTCATCCGCCCTGAGTCCCCTTCGGGGAAAAGGGCAGCATATAAATGAAATAAATTCAATTCAATTCAATTCCTTACCACTCAGCTATGGACACAAGGAGAGAAATGAGATACACGACAAGAGAGGGACATGCCCTCTAATGGCCACCTATATATAGACACCTCCTTGCATTATCCTCATTGCATCAGGTCACAGATTACAGATTACAACCTTACATCAGTTGGCAGCTATTAAATCTTCAGTACCTGACAATATGACTGGTACAAGTGGTAAACCAGCTTTCTGTAATACTCTAGAAATTAGTAATATTATTAATTTTTTCTAGGATTTCTTATGCTATCATTTTTTTTTCCAAAAATGTCTTGTATTCATATATAAGAAAGTTTGCAAAATGTTTTAAAACATTTTCAGTTTTTCTCATAATTGAATAACTAAAATAGATACCTTGCATGAATAAGTGGCATATTTATAATAGGCTCTTCGTCAATGGGCAGCCCTTCTTGCCCTTGCAGCTTTGCAGCATGCTTTTCAAGGTCTTTGATCAATACCTTAGAGAAGAAAAAAGAAACTGCCTGAGTTCCATTAAATAATTAATATAGAAATATCATTTTTAGAATCAAGATGGTGCTTTTAACTATCAAATGGAAACTTGTAATTTATTTTTCTTTTCCACTATAGTATGCATCGTCCCTGCTATACTATTCCAAAAGATCTCCCAATCCCCACAATTGAGATTCTTTAGAGGCTTCTTGTAAAGAAGTCCTAATGCAGCTGTGTCTAGTTTTCATCTGCTTTTGTGTGAGAATTCTGATGTGAATGTCAGCAAAAGTACTGTGCATGCAACATGTGCAGATACTCAAACAGCTTTCAAAACAACTATGATACCTCTAAATGATGGGACTGCTTTAATTCATATTGTTCTTGCTGCTTTACAAAACATAGGGAATCTTGCTTAACCCACATCTGCAGCATTTCACTGCCAAGCAGTTATAAAATATTCATAATCCTCCCTTTTTTATTGTCGCGTCATTTACCCCAAGAATATAAACTAAATAGTTTATTTTAAGATTTGGGCTCAAACTTTATATAAATTTCTACGTTTAGTTGAATTCAGCCAGGATTATTTTAAGATGTGTTTATGTATGAATTGTTCCTTTTTTTATATAAAGTGTAAATATAATTGTTCTCTTAGATAAGATTTGCATTTTGTGAATAATAAGGTTTTGGAATGTAAAAATATCTTATTATTTGTCTAATGCATTTACCTGATGAATGGCCAGTCCCATGCAGTCCAATATTCTTTGTGGTGTATCTCTTAATTCAACAGCAACATCAGGTAATGATTCCACTAGTTCTTTATCACATATTAGTTCCTTATAATCCACAAGAATACTTCCTTTTCTTTCTACTTCATCCTATAAAATGTGTGAATTTGTGTTCAGTAAAGTTACAACTCTATTTGTTGTTTACTCCATTACATATTATTTTAATCATAGTTATAAGCTGTTCAAGCATTCTCAAATATTAAAGAAAAATATTTTACTAAAAATACCAATGGTTGATTTAACTACCTCATATTCCAAAATGTGCATCATCTGCATTATATGAGGATGTTCTCATAAATTCTTTGTTCATTGAACCTAGCAACACCACTGATATATGCTATAAAAATCAGATAAATTTGACTGAAAGTTTAACACACGCTATGCAAGTAATTAAATATATGAACAGAAAAATGGGTACAGTTCAGGACAAGACTTCCTTATTTTCTAAAAAAAAATCCTCTATTTGTCCATCCATCCAAATCTTAGCATTAAAAAATCAGACCACGGAGGGCTGAAGAATAAGATTAAATAAATTTTCAAACGGGTCTGACAGAATCAATTTGCAAAATTCTCTTTAAAAAAATACAATTAAATCCTCATAAATACCAGGATCCATGGATTCCCTCAACATATCAGAAAACAAAAGTATCCCAAACAACATATAGTCTAATAACTTACCTTATCATAAAACTCTATTCGAGATTTGAAAAAAGTTTCAAAAGCTACAATCTTCTGAACAAAAGGTGAGTTGATCTCATATGCTGAATTGGAGAATTTTGATTAATACAGTTAATATAGTTATGACTGTAGATAACATTGAACACATAAGAACATATTAATCAACAAACATTGATTTTACAAGCCAATCTTTAATATACTTTAACATAACAATATATTTAGCTGCAGCTTTAAAAAGTTCTCCTGAGGATTTAAAGACACTCCATTAATATTTACAGCATTGAGAATTTAATTTCTTCAGGTAAATATAATTTTGTCTTATTGACCATCTTTTATCTTACAAGCATTACTTTGACTGCAGTTAACATAATTAATGAAGCTACATGCCAGAGAGAAATCTTATACAGTAGCTTCATTTTATGAAGTTTTAGGTGTGCCAAAAATAAGTAATAGAATACACATGATAAACCAGGATTTAACCGTCATGTGATGTAGTAGTAAGTTGTAATGAGAGAATTCACACGCTAGACCAAGACCAATGAAATTAAGGTTAGCACAGTGTGTGAAATCCAACTACAGGCTGTTTAGCATGCATAGGAATGATACGAAGTTAATGTTTCATTGAACACAGGTTTACTTCATCATACATATGAAAACTATTGAATTGCATGACAAGGAAACTCAGTATGGTGCCATTGTGTTTTAGAGTAGTTATATTTAAAAAAGTAAAAGTTTGTGAACTTATTATAAAGCACATATTCCATTTATTCCTGATAGGGTGACTCAGTTTTAACTTGCGTGCCTTTCAAAATATTACATCATTTTTTTTAATATAAATAGGTTTCTTTACTGCAAACAGCACAACTTACACGAACCATATTATTTGTGCATGAAACAAACAGTACTACTACATATGCAAATCCAAATGTTTAGAGAAAAGTATTCTACTTGCATTTTATTTTTTATATCATACCAGAGATATGCAATAAATCTTGTTTTTCATTTGGCTTGTTGCAGAGTAAGAGCTGAGAGGGAATGGCTTCTATACCAAAGGATGAGTAGAATCTGGTCCTCCCCAACTCCTAGTCCAGCTCCAACACTATGCCATACTAGCCCTTTCTCACTTTTAAGGTGAGGTTGTAATACTAAAATATACCACCTGCTTGTTATTTCATCACACCCACTCGACTTCTTCAGTCTGTTGTAATTTAGGTCGATATACAGTATGTGCCTCTGCCAATCCAGCATAAGGCTGATACTCCTGTCTTGGTTGCCTCATTCAGGCAGAGAAGGAATTTATGTGGACAGAACAGGAACAATTTCTGCCAGCGATCCAAGCATAAAGATTGTACAAATCTTTTTTTTAAAAAGTGACCCTGTTCTCAAATTTTGCTCATGGTCTCCCAGAGCATCACGACCTACAGCTTTTTAATTCCAATCCTAGCCAGCTCTCAAATGTACCATGTACAAGGAAAGGAAGACCTCACCTTCAGAGAAATAAAGTTTCCAGCCTTTATATGGAGTAGCCTGGTCCAGCGTTGTTTGAATAAGATGAGGTTGCGCTGAAAAGTACCCCCTCAAAAAGTTAGTGATAAAATTGAGCATTTTAAATTTGTCATTAACAGCAATTTATATGCAACATACTGTAGCTGCAAATACTGCATTTAAAATGATAAAGATAATAACTCCCTGTACTATACAGAGGGACAGCTTGAACATAAGATTCAGTTTTAAAAGTTTTATCTAAATTATAGCATAATAATCCAGGCTTCTGGCATTGTATTATGCTATTATAAGCTATTATTTTTTTAAAAATCAGAAACTTTTTTAAGCCTCCAAAGCAAATAAGATCATGCAGGAAAGGTCCTGAGATGTAATTTGGAATGACTTTGATTGAAACATTCTAGAATGAAAACATTCATTTTTACTGAAACAATGTCACTTCATGAGGTGTGCCTTCTTGGTGGCAGCCCCTTCCTTTTGGAATTAGACCCATCCCCCCATATATGGTTGGCCCCCAGGAAGGACAAGGAAGGCAGCCAAAGATAAGCAGAGTTTTCAACTGGTTGAGTTAAAATACATTTTATTTTTGCTTGCCATTTCATTGTTTTAGCAACATAAGGGGGGGTTAATGGTATGTATTGTTTTCCTGGGTTAGGTGATTTTTGTACACTGCTCAGTCGGGCTTCTTGATTTGGGCAATCATAGGAATGCTATAAATAAATGAATAAACTTGTGGAATTAACATACCCAACACTAATTTTTCGCTAGCATTTTTCCAGTTTTCTCTCTGTCCGCTTCCTTTTCCTCTCCCTTGCCATCTTCCTCTTCTCCACCTTTGAAAACCACCTCCTCCTCGTCCAGAACCTTTCCTGCTTGGCTCAGTACTCATCTTGGCATTTTAATAGATCTGCATTCTGAATCAAGACAATACATGTGTAACACACACTAATTTTTAAGTAGTTATTAAGGCAGACATCGATTTGGTTCTATGCTGGTATTTGTAGATTATTATAAGTAGCAGTTTACTTAGTTTTAAAACAGTTTAACAACACTGCGGTTGTTAAATTAGTAACACATTTTTAAGTGAATCTGGTTTCCTAATTAACATTGCTTGTCGGACGACCACAAAAGGTGATCACATGACTCCAGGACACTGCCACCGTCATAAATGAGAGTCAGCAGTCAAGCATCTGTATGTCAATCACGTGACCATGGGGATGCTGCAACAGTCGTAAGTGTGGAAAAACTGTCATAAATCACTTTTTTCACTGTCCTTGTAAGTTTGAGCCATCACTAAGCGAACTGTTGAAAGTCGAGGACCACCTGTACAGGTAACTATTTAAAGAAAACATGGAATAAAACTGTGGTTAATCAGAGGACCCCCCTCCTTTCTTTTTCACTACCCAAGCACACTGCACTTTTTCACTACCCAAGCACACTGCACTGAGTCAATTTTTTTAAGGAGTTTAATCCAATCATCAGGGAAGATGGTCAACCTATATCTGGCGTCTGTGACTTAGGGCAAAAAGTTATTCCCATAAAGCTCGGTGTTCATCTGTTTGAGGAAAGAAGAAGAGGAAGAGGAAGAGGAAGAGGAAGAAGAAGAAGAAG